TTCTAGCGAGTTCAATCTATGAAAACCAATAGATTCGTATTACAATAATTTAAAACACCAATAATCCACATGACATAAAACTTCGAATAAACGAAGTATTAGCAGTCGCGAATTCGCATGAATACCCCTCCCGACAATACATCGAATCACGAATTTCCCCATTAAATCAATATCAAATCAGGCTCACAGATGAGATTGATGCCGACTATCATTAGTTAATCAGACCTAAAAGCTAGCTCAACCAATGATTAGAATTGGCAGTAGTTAAATAAAACAATACTAATTTGATGCATATATGAATGATAAGTGATTACCAGGTGAGAGGGCTAACTCGCTTTTAAATTCACAACGAAATGCGAAGTCCACTGTATTTTCAGCCTTGAAAGTATTTACTAGCTTCTGATCATAATCAATATCGTGATCACTAGGCGGATCTCCATCGCTGTCCTGGCTAAGTGAACTGCTTCTACTGCCTGAATCACTGGCACTACGCTTAGACCTTTTAACACGAACAGCCATTTCAGCTTCATCCTCGTCCTTTGGAGTGGCGGATTTAGGCGCTACCTTCAAATCAAGATTGTCCTTGATTGATGTAGGGTGGTCCTCATTGGGCTCGACGTCATCAAGATCGGAATCGTCAGCCGCTTCGCCCTCTTCACTGTGTACACTGGAACCACGACACTATAGAATGAAAAGAAGCGAAATCGATTTAAATTATCTCCATTCAAATACATCTAAATGTGAAAGATAGATTAAATTCAAATTATTTATAAATGGGATCATCACTTCCACATCTTAGTGTGTAAAAAAAGCAACTCTGACAAACCGATAGGATGATGACAAATTCAAAATACCTAGTTATTTGAGTTTAGCATCGTGTCGTGTATTTCGAAAAGTTACAAAATACTAATTTGAGTTCAAGAGGTAGCTCAGCGAGATGTGAAACTAGATGGTGCCAAACCTCTTAAGTCCATGACACTAGATAAAAGTCACTTAGAAAAAGTCTTTCATGGTTAATACATTGATATATGCCGAAATTTCCATGATTGCTAATAAACTTTATACTTAGCAGTAATATTAGTGATGCAGCTAGTAAAACGTGAATTAGGATGGGCATACCAAACACAGAATCCCATACACTGATTGAAAGGACTTCAGACAATCAAGTTGAGGACCGATCTGGTATTTTCAGGAATAAGAAAGTAAATGAAAATTAATACCATTTGTAAAGAAGCACTGAAACTACTGGATAGCAAAACAAAAGTGAAGCCTCGTCATAATGTATAGAAAAAGAAAATTGTTGAAGATTTAAGAATGAATCGAGAAATCAAAAACGTTTGACATCCAAATGGTTTTTTATCTGTTTCACAGCTTAGTCGTGCTGCAAAGGCGACTTAGATGGGCGCACATTGTCTGGAATACTCTGGAAATCATCATGACTACTATAGAACACGACTCCAGACAACTTGCATTTATCCAGGTCGTTCCGAAAATTTCAAACTGGTAAAAAGAAGCCAAATCAACTATGTTTGGAAGAAGGCTGCGACGAAAATAAAAGAGAAACCACCTTCGTATCCGTATCACCGATAAGATTGTGAAAATTATTGTCCTTTGCTTAAAGTGAGAATCCAGCAACTACAACAATCTATCATCTCTTAAGGATATGCAATTTTAAATGTAGGTGCAGACAAGGATATATAA